ATCCAAGGGTCCAGGGTTCAAGTCCCTGCTCGGGCGATCTAATTTTTTATAAATTATCCTAAATTCGATTTCAATGACATCTTGAACATTATATAATCACAAAAGCTTGGTCAAGAAGTTGAAGTCTATTTGTAGATCCAAGAGATATTCTAAATCATAGATTGACTATTAAAAAGTAGAACTGCATCGGCCGGGAATCGAACCCGGGCCGCCCGCGTGGCAGGCGAGCATTCTACCACTGAACCACCGATGCTATATAGTAGATTCTTAGAAGCGAAGTGAGTCAGATAATTGTATGAATTTCTATCTTAGATTTTGAAATGTATTCTTTATGATTCTACTTAAATATCACCGGTTATTAAAGGGAAGGGGCAATTGCTTGGGAATTGTAAAAAAAGAAAGGATTTATGATATTAAACATAATGTGGAAAGCTGTCCCTGAAGATTATAATTCAGTTTAAAATTGTTGTCTCGACACTTCAATGTTGGAAGAAATTGCCATTGCTTCAATCACATCCGTAAATGACGTTCCACAATTGATTGTGGAAGTTCGCTCAAGAAATTTATTCGGGAAATAAGCTGTATAATCTAAATACCGCATTTCATATTTAATATTTGATTTGATTTTCTGACATTATGTATCATTTCAATACCCAATAGACTATTTAAACACCAATAACGTTTTATTTTCTTCAAAAAATGATAACTGACATGAGGATTTCTTCATGGCCCGGGTAGCTCAGTCGGTAGAGCATTGGACTTTTAATCCAAGGGTCCAGGGTTCAAGTCCCTGCTCGGGCGGATATATTTTTAGAAACTAACTAATGTCGGAAGGTAAATCGTATAAAATTAGCTGCAGCTAATTCTAGTTCTACATTAAAGTCCGAATTAAGTCTTTGTTGTTTTCCATGGTTTCAACTCAGCCAAAATTTCTCCGATTTTATTTCAATTATAAAATAGTTTTTATAATAAAAAACGTTAGTTGCATCGGCCGGGAATCGAACCCGGGCCGCCCGCGTGGCAGGCGAGCATTCTACCACTGAACCACCGATGCTTGATAACGGTACTTTGTTATAATCAATGTGTTGAAGGGAAGTCCAAAAAAGATCACATCAAATACTATTATAAAAATCCAGCCTTAAAGACAAATTGATGGAAAATATGTGCGAATGTTAGCAGTATTATTGGCTTGAGCCATTTCTAAAAGAACCACAATTAGGGAAATGAAGAAGAAAGTCGAGTACACTTATAATGAATACCGTTAATAATGAATTTAATTTATAGCGAACACTTTTCCTGGTCCCAAAGTTTTTATACATATTTTTCATACAAATATTTACTATTATAGCGAATTTACGGTTGCAGCGTAAATTCGGTACCAACATTCAATTTTCATACATTTTAATTTGGTTATAACGAACACTGCTACAAATATACGCAATACTGACGATGACAATCCTCACAAACATTTTTGCTTTGAGAACCTTTACACAAAATTTCAGGTTCATCAATGAAAAAGAGAATCACCTTAAGAATTGTCGAAAGGACACAAAACCTATTAGATTCTAACGGACTTTATATTTTTTCTGTCAAACCTATGTTTTGCTTTACCTTGGATATAAAGAACTTCATCAATAACGTACAATTTCAAGATATGGCGGGACGGACTGGTTGTCTAAGTGTGGATATGACAACACTGTAGTAAAACAAATCAGAATTACGGAAGAGTACGACGTGAAAAATACAAACCAATCCAACTTTACTAAGGACGTGTTTTATGTGCCCGGGTAGCTCAGTCGGTAGAGCATTGGACTTTTAATCCAAGGGTCCAGGGTTCAAGTCCCTGCTCGGGCGAGTTTATTAACTTTTAATTATAGCACATTCTGAAATATGCTGCTATAAAATGTTCCATGGTTATAATATACTCAGGATTTATAGGTAATTTGTGATCGGAGAAGTCGAACTTCCATAACTCAAACCAACCACCATAATCCCGAAGAAAACTTTTAATTATGGGGGAACATCGAGTTATGAAATTAATTATAATATATAAGTACAACCTGTATCGCATCCTGTGATTATAAAAGCTGAACCAAATTATGAGCCCGGGTAGCTCAGTCGGTAGAGCATTGGACTTTTAATCCAAGGGTCCAGGGTTCAAGTCCCTGCTCGGGCGGAAATACATTTTTATATTTAATTTTATACAGCCTAGATTTATTTATATATGAAAACCCAGATTAGAAGTTAGTCCAATATTTGGAAACATGATCAACATTTTTAATTGACTAACAGAAAATATTCAAAATCTGAAATTAAAGAATATTTGGCAAATTGTTGCCAAAACCCTTACCACAAATTTAGATATTACTCCCGATATTGCTTATCAGCCCGGGTAGCTCAGTCGGTAGAGCATTGGACTTTTAATCCAAGGGTCCAGGGTTCAAGTCCCTGCTCGGGCGTATGGAGATATTTTATATACAGAAGTTACTTTGTGAAAGATAAATAAGAATGGGACTGCAGAATCATTGTTAAAATATTATGGGAACTCTTTGCATATCGAGATCTCAATGGTAGTCTTGGGCAATTTCGTTCAGTAAAGCGATCGAACGAACTTTTCCCAATCATTCGAAGACCTTGACTATCTATTTTCTGCACTCCGTTATAATCGGCTCCACATTTGTTTTAACTGCAGTTGTTGGTTCGGAAACCTGAGCCACTTCTTCTGGGGTTTCCAGCTCCCTTCTACGGGCTGTCTTTGGGAGTCAATTAAAGCAAATGGCTGCTATCCTTTTAAATGTGGCTTCAGATTATTTATTGTCCCCGTAGCTATGCTGAAACATTAATGAGGTATTTGCATTTGGTCTTTTGAACACCGCAATTGACTAATTTTCCGAGTGCATTTTTTCAATTTATCACATTTTACATGAAGTTGATCTTTTTTGACGCATTTCAGTTGGTCAAAGCCAGAGCAACCCTGAACGACACTGAAGGTGTAAAACAAAATTCTGTTCAGTGATCGACGACGTTTTGTAAATAAAATCGTTCATAAATGACAATAATATACATTGAACTATGTCGTCCATTCGTTCAGTGGACTGTCTCGTCCAATGATGACGACGACAATTGCATTAAATATAGTCGAACAAATATTCGATGGAAGAATGGACGTCTACCAGTGATATCTTCAAAAAGTTCAATATTAATAATTATTTCCTATTTCCCAATATAAAAAATGGTACGTTGAAAGACGAACCTGCTCAAATCAATTTCCATTTTGTGAACCTTCAAAAATATTGTTTTGTGTTTTATTTGAAAAGTCAGGGTAGATACTTTTTCCCGTAAATATAACACAGAAACCCTACTCATAGCATTACCTACTTCAAGGAGGTATACATTTAAGAGGTCATAGAAGGAAATGGTTAATCGGAAGGAAGAAAATTGTAAGCTTTAAAATCCTCCTACTCTTCCATTTTGTGAAGTTTATATTTCCACAAATTATAATGAGTCATTTAATCGACCGATCTTTCATTTACCATCGATCTTGCGCCTTCCATTATTAAAGTAGGTTTTTTTCTAATCCAATTACTATATTTCGTAGCCCGGGTAGCTCAGTCGGTAGAGCATTGGACTTTTAATCCAAGGGTCCAGGGTTCAAGTCCCTGCTCGGGCGATATACTAATTTTGCAATTGCCATAACATAGGCACGCCCACCAATATCTCTAGGAGAGAATATATTTCATTCAATTCATAACTTCAATGAGAATTATACTTCATCTAAATTGCACTGAAGTTATGAATTACCCACGGGAAAGTGATAAGAGAAGGATAAAAGTCCTTAAATCCTATAAAATCTGCATCGGCCGGGAATCGAACCCGGACCGTCCGCGTGGGAGGCGAACATTCTACCATTAAACCACCGATGCTTCGAACGGTTCGGCATCGATAAAAAATTTTCAATTATTTTTCGCAAACCATAAAGCAAATTAGTGAAAGGCTTTCTATATTTAGAAAGAATGTGCGCTGGCCAAAGAGAAATATTAGCAAAGCAAGCACACAAGTGCTTTTTTCGCTTTCGATTCTTCTTAATATTATGCTAGAGAGGGTGAGAATAAGTGGCCAACAAAAGAACAACAACCACACGATAATAATCTTTTGTGTGAAATCACAAACATATTGTGACATATCTACTACATATTGCCAATATTCTAATGAAAGGGATTGTCATGTGTAGACACATTATGGCCAAATAAGTGACACTAATTCTGTCAGAGGTCATTGTGAATAGTAAGGCGATGATAAAATATTTTATGTTGAAATACAAAGGAGGTTATTATAGGGTATCAGATATATCCACGAAAAATAAACAATTTTATACAAGTCATCGGTTCTAATTTTGGTGCGCTGGTGTAAAATAAAAATTTCTTTGTTACAAAAAAAAAAGTATATATATTTTCGGAGGGACCCTGCCTACACTGCATTGTTTGTAAAAATTGTTTATATAGTTCCAAAAAATATTTCGTTTTGATTTTTCTTCAATATCACCTAATACTCCATATCCGATTCCAAGTACCTCACCTCCCCAACTAGTTTTCACATATCATGTTACATATTTGCAAAAAAATATAACACTCAACAATTTTTTTTTTTAAATTCAATGACAGCAATTAAAGAAAAGCTACAATTAATTTATTAAATATGCATTTGAGACCTCATAAAGTTGATGTGTAATCACCTTCCAACGGCATAGACTTAACATTCTTGACAGATTATTATTTTGAATAATATGTGCGAACGGTACGACGACGAACTTGCTCTCAGAAACAGTGAAGGCGTCAGTCGTAGAGGTGTTAAGAATATCATTTAAGCTGATTTGTTTACTAACAATGAATTTTTATGAATGAATTAGAAATAAAAAAACAACGAGACAATTTTTATGAAATATTATTGTAATTAACAAATATATTTATTTACATTTCCTCATATTTCTTTTCTTTTTTGCAGTGAAAAAATTGAACGTTTCATTGATGACAATAAGGCGCTGATGCGACGAATGTATGGTGATTTTGAAATGAACATGGACGATGGTGGCCCACGGCAACAGACGAAAAAGCGTAGGAGGCGTTTTATTGATGAACCCGATATTTTCTTACCGCCTGGTGCATATCCTTCATTTGTACCGGATGATGAGGTTGAACCACATGATGAGGAACATGGTGAAAGTTATTTTGGCAAACTGCGTAATAAACGTCAAGCTGAGAATCAGGGAAATCGTAACAATAATCAGGGTAATCGAAATGCCAAGCAGACGGGACCGAGAAGTGGTCAACAGGCTTCGCCGACAGGAAGGTAAGTTAAAATGGGCACATTTTTATACCTTTTGTCATAAGGTGGTCTTTTCACTTGCAAACACATAGAAAAATCGTCGGAGACCCACAAAATATATACAGTGAGTCGCAGTAAAAAGTATCCACTTGATTTTTTGTAGAAAAATGCCATAAGTGCATGTTAATCAAGGAATTAATTTTTTTGGTTAATACTTAGTATGATATCCCTTGTTATCTTTTCCAGATTTTAACCATGCCGGCATAGAGTTGACAGGTCTGAATTCTCCTTGTAAAGCATTTTTAAAACTAGGTGTGCTTGTTCAAAGTCCTCTATAGGATTCAAATCCGAGGTCTGAGGAGTTGTTTGAATCACTTTTGGAAAATTATAAGGCATTCATTCTCGAACGATCTGGGATTTGTGTTAAGGGTCGTTCCCCTTTTATTTTACCTAGGTTGTGACAGAACATTTGTTCCATAAACCGAGCTTATGAAAGATTTCCAGCTGCGTCGGTCTTTAAATTTGAAAGACCATGTTCCGAGATGTTGTCTTTCACTTGATCTTTACATCGAATTCGTGGTCTTTTCCTTCTGCGTGAACTATCAGTTGCCTCGCTTTTATATGCCTTTTGAGATGGAGCATCCTCATTCATTCTCACGACATGACTTAGCCAACGTAGTCGCCGTACTTCGATACGTCTGATTATGTCGGTGTCCAAGAATAAATGGTACAACTCATGGTTCATTCGACATCGATATTCATAGATCTTTCGGATCGGATGTTTCTAAATTGCTTACATAGACCATAGTAGCATCTGCTGGCCAACACTATCCTTCTCCGAATTTCAAAACTGATGTCATTAGTTGTATTTATGGCTGTACCGAGGTATATAAAATTTTTGACTACCTCGAAACTGTAGTTTTGAAGATTTGCAGCTGGTTAAAAAGGTCACACGAGTGGATGTCACCTTCATTGAACTCCTGATCGGTATTAAAAGGATCCGAGAGGTCCTTTTGTACTTTAACTGCTGATCTTGTGACAGTTAAAGTTATATTGCATAGCTGTATTAATTTTGCATGAATGCCGAACGTAAACATGACTTTAAACACCCCTGAACTGATAGGGTTGTCGAATGCGGCTTTATAGTCGACGAATATGTGGAATGTGTCGATGTATTTTTCGTGGGTCTTTTCCAGAGTGAAAATCTGGTCAATGGTGGATTTACTAGGCCTGAAGCCGCATTGGTACGGTCTAATAATATTATTGACCATTGGCTTATGTCGTTCACACATTACTCTGGATAACACATTAAGTGCGATAGGGAAGAGATTAATTCCTCTATAGTTGGCACATATCGTCTAGTGTCCTTTTTTGTGCACGGGACACATGATGCTGAGGTTCCAATCATTGGGCATGCATTCTTCTAGCCAAATTGTACTAATCAGCTGGTGCATGCTCCTGACAAGCATCTGGCCACCAGTGTTGAATAGTTCGGCTGGTAACCCATCGGCTCCTACTGCTTTATTGTTCTTGAGCCGATTAATTGCTTTTATGACCTCATCTTGGCTAGGTATAAACTCTAACCATCATCTCTTATTGTTTCTGGGGTATCTTCTTCAACGCCACTATTTGGTACCAGAAGCTTTGTAAAATGCTACTTCCAGATCCTCAACACTCTGCCTGTATTTGTCACCAGGTTTCCTTCTTCATCTCTACAGGAGGATGTGCCAGCACCAAATCATTTGGTTTGCTCCCGCTCACGTTTTTCTTATTCGTCCTTTTTGTCTAAAAATACGTTTCTCCTCTCTCCTTTTCTGTCGATAATTCTCTTTCGCATTACGTGTTGGTATTGTCTGCATGGTTGCCCTATACGCTGCGCTTTTTTCACACATCATTAGCATCACGACACTCCAATTATTTGCCATTGTGCTTCTATATTATTATCGGGACAAGGAGTGCTTTCGTCAAGCAGATGGGTAAGTTGAGCGGAGTAGGCTTCTGCTATCTGGTGTGTTGTGTTTTCGATGTCGAGTTTCCGTGTTACATTAGATCGCACCTTTGCTGCTACATTAAGACGAGTGCGAGCCTTGGCTGCTACAAGGTAGTGGTCCGAATCGATATTCGCTCCTCGGATCGATCGTACGTCTAAAATACTGGATGAATGCCTTCCGTCTATCACAACATGCTCGATTTGATTTATCGTTGTTTGATCGGGAAAAATCCAGGTGGCCTTATGTGTTTCGAGATGCTTGAATCTTGAATCCTTTATATGTTTCTGTGTTATAAAAAACCCGCCTCCACCAAACACACACAAGATACCTTGTTCACTCTCTTTGATATGAAACCAGTATTTAAAGTTTTATGAATTGTATTCATAAAATGCAGAAATCAGGACATTGGCAACACATGGTGAATACTATTCATATAATATACGAATTATTTGTATTCTGTGTTCGTTTTCCATTAGTTTATGTTCTTGTATTATATTTAGTTACCTTCAATCTCGGATGGTTACAACGGCATCACATTACAAATAAGCCCATTTCTACCATAGTTCATTTAATTTTATATTTTTTTCCCCTCTTTACAGATTGGATGCCTGTGAATCGAAAGTGGAAATTGTCACACCCTATTGGGCCTCAAATTCTGCTGGCAAAATTAGGGCCATAGTAAATACGCAGCATTTTGAGCAAGCCATACATCAAGAAATATGCTCGTAAGTATAAAAATCAAATATATAAAATATATTAAAATTTAAAATTTTTAATTTTTTCTAATTCTAAATAATTTTATTAATGTTCCTCTCCCCACAGAAAAGCCCAAACACCCCGTTGCATTGGTGAATGTGGCTGTGAGCAAAAATACAAATGGCATCGTCTGCTGGCCTATGATCCGGATAATGATTGTAAGGGAATCTTTATGGATTGGTTCCTGTTCCCATCATGCTGTGTATGCCGATGTAATCCTTAAGGTGAACGTGCACACACAAACAAAATTTTTGATAGACTTTAGTAAAGAAAAATAAAACCTTAAAAAGGAAAACATTTTTGATATTTTGTTTGTTAAGTTTACTTTTAAGTTTATTTTCCTTTGATAAATTAGAAGTATATTTTTAAATGTTTATTATAATTTGATTTTTTTTTTGTTTCATATCCTACATCACTACAACCTAATATAACAATAATATTGATTCGGTAAATTTTAATAGATAGGTTGAAATAGTCGTTGGTTCTAAAGATGGGTTTAGTACAAACCACTACACATTGTGTGGTACAATAAGGTCCCTATGGTAAAGAATATGAATATATCGACCAATATACTGGAAAATTGTTGCAAAAATCATTTAAGGGAAACATCGAAATCCGAAAATTCCAACGGTGTTAGAAGGAGTACATGAATGGCTCTCGTATGAACTAGGATTATTGACTTCGCTCCAAAATCAACAAAATGGTGGACCTTTGAAAAAATATTTTTGGAAAATCGACGATTTTTTACCAAAACCCAAGGTAAAAAATAAGGAAGATCTTCACCGATTGGCTTTATCCTAGTTCATACGATAGCTATACACTCACAGAAAAACGTGTAAAAATTTGAAGTCGATTGGGTTATTAGTTTTTGAGTTATCGTGCCCGCCATTCGCAACAAAATGTTTAGAGAAAAACGTGTTTAAAGTTTGAGAAGCCCTTCAGCCCTTGATGCTGACACAATAAATCGGCTATATCTTCAAGAGTTCTTGAGATTTTTCATTTGAAATTTTGTAAGGACATTCTTTAATTAGTGTAGATTCGAATTATATCAACAAAATTTTCGACCCCGAGAATGGGGGGTCCCCTTAAGTCGAGAGGAATACAAAACAAGGATCTAGGGTTGCAAGATGTTTAGTTAAAAAAAAATTAAAAAATACCAAAATGTATTCAAAAATTATTTTTATTAATAAAAAAACCTGATTGAACAATGATTTGAAGATTCTGGACTATTGAAATCAATATTTCTACGAATTTTCAAAAAAAGTCCCCTACCATCAGTGACCCTCATTCCGAATTTGAGTTGCAGGACAATCCATTTGCTACCTTATATAAAAATTTCCAAACATCTGGTTTCGATTTTAAAGAGTAAATAAATTAGAAATTGTTCTGGGCAGATTCTGTTCTTTTAAATTGATTTCATCTCTGAACCCAAGGACCGATTTAAGGCATTTTTAATTTATATATTTTGCATCAGTCAATTTATATATTCTCCAATGTTGCAAATGTCTGATATAATAAATTCTATAAGATGTTTTGAAATAGTCAGGGACAGCTGCGATAGAAAAAAATAATTTGCAATCCAAATAACCAATCATCCACGTTTTTGGGTGTGTAGTGGTGTAGGGTACCTATGGCCAGTTTCATTGCCTATGGCCTAATTTTTATTTTTTTTTTTCTATTTTGTTGATTATAAGAAACGTGCCAAGATGGAAACGCAAATATTTCCAACTAAAATGCCGTGCCAATTAAAATCATTTTAATGACTAATAATATATACGCGATGGAAAATCCCACACGACGATAACTATCATAAGTGGACAATATCTTATAAGCGAACCTTAAATAATAAAATATAAAAATAAATAAAAATTGGGCTATTTTTAATATGAAGGTCCCTTATGAAAGGTTAAAAAAACATTTTAGTGCTATACACAACAGAATTATTTACAAAAAAATTTATAAAAAATGTCCCTTAAAAGAATAATACAACAATCCTTTACTCTCCTAATAAAAAAAATTAATATTAGTAATTAATATAACTCTAAAGAAAATATATATTTAGTTAAATTGTTTGTTATAAAATTAAATATAATTAATAATAAATTAATTTTAAGTATAACAACACATGATGACACAAACATTACCAATTCACAAGCATTTACATTTTAAGTTTTTTCTAGCATTAGCATTTTTTGTTTATTAATTAAGTAAACGTTCGAACGTATGTACACCCATGCACACCTCTTTGCTGAATAAAAAACAACCACAACAAAATAAATTTATGATTACAAATAAATATTCAGAAACTAGTTTTTTTTTCTTTTATTAAACTAGAACAATTCTAGTCGTAAGTGTTCAAATACATTATCAAGCAAAGTCCTGACAAGGCCCGGGTAGCTCAGTCGGTAGAGCATTGGACTTTTAATCCAAGGGTCCAGGGTTCAAGTCCCTGCTCGGGCGGTTCGGCTTTTTTCGTAAATTATTTTTTTGAAGGTAAATAAATAGTTAAGGGGAAATATGTTTCCGAAAAACGAATCACTAAAAATTGTATGGGCCCAGATTCTTATATTTCGTTACCAATTGAATTTTATATACCATAATTCAATAATGTTCATACTTTCATCCTTCATCATTTCATCATAACACCAAAAAGTCAATTGCATCGGCCGGGAATCGAACCCGGGCCGCCCGCGTGGCAGGCGAGCATTCTACCACTGAACCACCGATGCTTGATAAACATTGATTCACAAATAACGGTTTTGCAAAGGGTTTATTTTACTTTACTTGTTATTTTACTTCCGCCACATGTACTGTATTAAAGAGTACTGTACAATATTATTACAGCAACGTTGGATTTTTAATTCGTAGTGTGTACAGTACATTTAATTTGATACGTTTACAGTGGTTGAGTGGTTGGGTGACAGTGTACAGTATCCAAACGTTTGACCGTAGATTCGAACTTTTTATACACGTGGCGTGCATTCAAAATTCTTTAATTTGGTTAGAAAACGGTATATTTGTGAATACCGTAACTTAAAATTAATGATAGTTTAGTTTATATTTATTGAGTCGTTTTTTAAACAATGTCAATATCTAAATAAGATACATAATATGAAGGACTTATGACTATAATGTATTATCTATCGTAATGCAGTGACATAAATTACAGCACCTAGCTTTTACATGAAATGAGACATAAAATGTGGGTATACATCAGTTAAAGTTACGTACATCTTTGCTCCGGAGACTAATGCAATATGAAGGGATAATGTATCCAGGGTTTATGAACTTAAAACTAATAATACAAAACAAAACAATGAACAGACAACAAAAGTAAAAGTAGGTAAATCAATAACTACCCACGATGTGTACCGGCGGTCAGTGCCTTTTCGTAAAACTGGGTAATACCCGCTTCGGACCCGTATTTATACCCTATAGGTGATGGATAATTTGTGTTATACCAACCAATGTTCTCTTGACTATTACATGCTTCATTCACATGCACATTTTTATGAAACTCTAATCTGGCATTGAACTTATCCAAAATCGAACAGATATAGGCAGACATACGTTGCAATTTTGAATTTTCATAAATAAAATTATTCGAATATCTCTTATTGAAACATATAACATTTTTTCCGATGCAAAGTCTCAAAATTTTTCTCCTCCAAAAACCTCTAGCACTTTTACAACAATTGTTGATATGCTAAACCAGACAGGAAAGGCATACAAAATAACAGGCCTTCTACATGTCTTGCGCAACATTAATTTTGTACTTGCAGTCAAAGCTTTATTGTTCAGAATTTTCAAAAATAAAATAAAAATTCCTCGGGCCTTATTTCATGCTTTTCTAGCATGTGAATTAAATTTAAATAGTTTGTTAAACTCTACTCCCAAGTACGTAATTTTGTCTCTAAAGGGAATTTCAATGCCATTTAATGTCAGTTTTAAATTCTTACTCTCAGGAACTACAGAACGTTTACATTTTCCAGATGCATTTCTAATGCAAATTGCTTCGCACTTGGAAGTGTTAATTTTGATTCCCCATTCATCGTAAAATTGCTTAACATTATGTAGGTATTGTGAGATATTGTCAGTAGCACAAACTGGTGACTCGTGATGTGAGTACAAAAGTGAGTCGTCAGCGTACAGAATACCCGAAGCGTTTTCTATGAGGGTATGAGGGAAATCGTACATTAAGATGTTGTACAAATGCGGTGCTAGCACAGATCCCTGCGGGATGCCAGTGCTTATAGTTGACAATTCGGACACCTGGTTTTTATATAGAACGCAAAATTTTCTGTTTGTTACGAAGCTCTTAAATAATTTAATAACCTCAGGGCTGTATCCAATTCTTATCATTTTGGTCAATATTCCATAGTGGGAGGCATGATCAAAGGCCTTCTCTACATCTACGGAAACTGCTACGGTACACTTCTTTTCTCGAAGGTTCAGAACGATATCATTTGTGAATGTAGTCATTGCATAAAAAAGCCAATATTTATTTTATATAAATTCAATATGAAGAAATAATTATTGTTACACAAAATCAATTCTGGCCTCACAGTGAAAATTATCCACCGGTATTATTTACAACCTAATAACCGTTAAAAGTCAATGGAATATCAAGTCACGTAGTGCATCAATTTTTTTCTGACGAGAATCGAATTTGCTACAAGCCGAAAACCAGCGAGACAAAAATATTCAATATTAGAGATGAAAAGTGATTGATCCGGCAAGTGACCGATAATCCAAATCTATGTGTACCTAAACTTGAGGAAATCGCAGATAAATATCTGAAAAAAAAACGTAACTGAGAAACAATTCGAAGATTTTTCCGTAATTATTTTTAGTGCAACTTTACCATGAAGACCATGCTTACGCAAAGGAAAAAGGATTTTGAAAATCTCTTTTTTTGTCGATAATAGCAAATTTAACTTGTTTGAGTCGGATGGACCAAGTAAGGACTGACGCAGATCGAATACAGCCGAGAACCCTTTGCACACAATTCCGACCGTAAAGCTCGGTGGAGGGTTTGTAATGTTATGTAGTGCCGAAAAGTTGGAATTAGGGACAAGATTTCAATTTTATCAAGATAATGACCCCAAACACAAGCCCAAGATCGTTCGAGAATGGATGCTTTATAATTGTCCAAAAGTGATTAAAATACCTCCACAGTTCCCGGATTTGAATCCTTTAGTAAAAAATCTCTGCCGGCATGTTTCACTTC